CGCTAGAAGAGGCGGGCAGGAAATTCTGTGTATCTAGGTTTCGCACTGACTCACAGCTTTCAGGAAATTGATGCTTCACTTGGGCGTTTAATTCTCCTCCGACATGCGTTATGAAGACTATGATCTTTCTTTACCGATGAATGCCACTCATCGTGAAACATAGGTTAGGGGTTTCCTACTGACCACTCTTAACCTCCTAACATGTAAATGCCTGTAAAAACTTGAGTATTTTTTGGAGATAACAAACCATAAGAAAAGATGAAGAAATTATTCTTCTATGTGGTATGTTTATTTCTTGTGCGATTGGCAGGGTTCAGCTATGACTAGGACTTATGCACACTGGTGATAAAAGTAAAAATTAGTGAAATAAAAGGATTTCCAAGAGTATATAGTTGAATAACTCATATTTTCTAAAGTTTTCTCCTGAAAACCAAAGTTTTTTCCATTTTTCCAAAAGGAATTCATCTTTAGTTTTATTTCAATTAGTTCTCATCACATATTTTTCTTGATTTCTTCATTATTCTCAAATATAGAGCTTTATCCCTTTCTTTCGTTTATATGCATTCACGTTCAGCTCAATTCTCAGTGGTTATTTTATTACAATTGTCTACTGAATCTAAATTAGTAGCAAAATGAGAATGATTAAATGAATTAAAAAAAAAAGTAATCAAAATTGTCCTCTTTCATAATGTGTATAAGTGGATTGTGTTTTACTTATCTTTACGTGTGCATCATGTAAACGCCTCAAGATTTATATAACTAATAGGATTATTATTATTGTTTTGAATGACTCTATTCACATATATTTATTTTATTTGCTTGTGATAGACAATGACTATCATAGTTTATTTGAAAGAGAAAAGGTAACATCAAACAAAAGATTTACAATAACTGTTTCATTTTCTATTAAAATTAATCATTTAGATTGAAAAGTGTCAGTTAAATTAAATAACGCGCTAAACAGTAAACAAATAAACAGAATACAACTGTTTGATTAGCTTTGTGTGTGTTGACATTTCGCGGCAATAAACATAGCAAAGTTATTCTCATGAATTCCTATCAGTTTTTTTGTCGAGAATTCTCAGTTAGTCTAAATCAATATGAACCAATAGTAAATTGTTTATTGATATATTTAAATTTTCTTCATAATTGTTCTCAGTCGTTTCGTAATAATAAGTTATATTTCGGTACTTTTTAATTTTTTTTATTCGGCAATTTTTTTCTTATGATATGATAAGTGTAACATTCAGCTTAATGTATGATTAGAGCGCTACTTAGAGTTCGATTCTTCTTCCTAAAATTCCGATGGAATTATTGTTATAAACAATAAATAAATATCATCTGAAAGCAGCGATATACGATAAGTCGTTTTCACTCACATAAACATAATATGTTGTAAGTGTATAGCATAATTCTCAAAAAGTTTTAAAACGTAAACAATTCTCTGGCTTATGAAAAAAAGTTTATTCCAACAACAAATAAGGCAAATGAAAGCTTGTCGATATTAGGTATTATGATTTGGTTAAATTCGAAAAGCACTAATCATTGATTAAGAGTATATTAACATGCAATAAAACAAATGATTGCTGACTTTATTTCATATTAATAAGTATTGAAAGGTTTTCATCGATGAAGTGCGGGAGTTTAAATGGATGACAAGGCACACCAACAGTACTGTAGGCCGGTCACCATGAATCTTGCATCATGAGTTCTTGATCGCATTTTTTTGAGTGGCCAGACCAAAGGTTTAAGTTCTTTTTCAATGGAATTCTGAATTAATATAAAGGATAGATGGTTCACATCGCTTAACGATTCTTTCTAAATAAATAGAAAACTGGTTTATTGTCCTTTATTTCATTCAGCAGTATCAGCCGATATCCATTGGGAAAGTTCGTTTAAAATAGAGAAACAAACCACAAACCTACTCATCCCTAGAAAAATTGCATTTAATTAATTTATAAATATTCGTTAGAGCGAATTTTCATCCAACTACAAACCTACTGACTTGACATCCGGAAGTCACTGCTGCTCGCCCTCGCGTCAAATTTCCTATAGCCTTTTCAACTTCATAGAATTTCGGAGGACTTACGTCGACTTGCCATTCAGGATGACTTGAGATAACCGAAGAGTGGCTGAAGACCAGTTGAAATGATCCCTAAAGTGTTCTGCCCATCGATCCAGTCTCCTGGATTGAGAATAAATAATAGTCCCGTCATTTTCTGAGATAGTCTCACTTACACTAGGATTCCTAATACCAGCTTCCTTGATAAGTCGGAAAAGTTGTCTACTGTTGCCTATTGCCACTGCCTTCTTCATCGCTCTCGTCACCCCCCACTGTCCATGGTCGTTGCGAAGGCTTTTTATCAGCCTGCGCCTAAGCTGACTTCGTTTTTATCATGTTCAGAGCCAGGTGGGATGAGTTTTCGGGCATCCATCAGATCGGTGGATGCTATTGAGATCCACGGCTTCATTCTAGCCTTATGATTTACGTTACTAGCAGATATCACTGCCGTTTCCACGGCCTTCTTGATATCATTCCAACCTGCTTCCGGATGGGAATCGCTTACATGATTGCCTAACTCTCTTTCTAGTTGTTCCTGAAATATATTCTTCGCCTTATTATCATTAAGTAAAACCCTAAGAGGCTTCCTTACGGTGTCTTTCCTACGTCCAGTAAGCCTCAAACAAATACGCGCTCGCACTAGGGCATGATCTGAATCTAAACATGTGCCTCAGAACGAGCGACAGTCCTTTATCGAACCCCTCCATTGGTGGCTGATAGTAATGTAATCTAGTTGGGTCGGCTTTTGAGGTCGCCAGGTCAAAAGGTGTTTTACCTTATGCTTAAAGTTAGTTTTGATAGTAATAGGCAGTTATGTGAGCATAGCTGCAACAGACGGTCGCCATTATCTCTTCTTTGAGCCGCGACACCATACGATCCACCAAGGTGTCTTTCCTTTTCGCTGAGTCTACCTACTTGAGCGTTAAAGTCGCCAGCCATTATTACTATATCAGAGCGCTTAACATTTTGGAAAAGTTTAGGGAGGTTTCTATAAAACCTATCTTTCACATCGTCTGAACTGAAGTCATTAGTTGCATAGGCATATACGACGAAGAGGAAACGGCAAATGTCCCTATCCTTCCGAGTCCGTACCATGCCGTTTAGTTGGACAGTGCACAAGCGACTGTCTGTTGGGCTTCAGTCTAGGAGAGCTAGTTCTACCCTCCGACTCAATGCTATACCTACACCAGCGATACTCCTGGAAGCAGCATCAAGGCTACCGGATACACGAAGGGTAAATCGAGCTGCTTCTTTAACTTGACATGGTGAGGTAAAGTGAATGATGCTACTCGGATCCTGTATGCGCGTTTCCGAGACGCAGTACACATCGATGGCACGAGATTCTAAAGTTCTAGCTAAAGAAGCCTGTTGCCCTATTTGGCAATGTCCGTACATTAAAAGCTCCAACATGTAGTTTAGAACGAGGTTTCAGGAGACCAGGAATAACGTTTCGCGAACTCGCTTCGTCTGCATTAGCGGTACTGTATAATGAAGGAATATAAGAAGAGTTAGTCGTGGAGATAAGAGAGATATTAGAGGGTGTAGGAAGGATTTCATTATGACAAATTCGGTCTCGCGCGCTGTTACGGTTATGAGGTCGGTTGTTACTTGCCGGCTGCCGACACCGTCGAAGAGTTTTTCTTGATGAACCTGAAAAGGAAAGTAGATCAGTGTCGGTCTTAGAGACCTGAGAGCGTGACCACAGAGTCCAAGGAACAACTGCTTAAGGTCGGTCACGCACGACCTTTGTATTAAAAGTTTTTTGAGTGTTAGCTCCGCACTTGAAAGCCCTTATTGGGCACCCTTACCCAAGGAGACGGAAATCCGTGAAGTAGGGTGAGGTGTGACATTTTTATGGTCGACCTTTCTTAAGCCTTCCTTCCGTGTGAGAAGGCATCATCGCTGCAGATGCTGGTTGTCCAAGGGAAACACACTGCTGTCACACCCCTCTGCAGTCAGCAGTACGACTTCGCCCTCAGACCTTGGGTAGCTGCTTTTAGTCTCATCGTTCTCCAATCGACCAGCCTGGCATGGTAGAACCTGCAGGAACATATGTTCCAGCCAGTATAGCTCGGTTGGGTCATCACGATAGGCAAGCCCGACCACCACGTCAAGGTAGCAGCTTCCGTCGAGGGCTAAAATAAAGAAGTCAGATCAAAAAACGGAACGCATAAAAACTATTGGCAAGCATCAAAACTATAAATAAAACTCGACAATAACTGAAAAGGAAAGCTCAGGACGGAGTTACTAAATCCATGATCGATGCAAAACGGGTAACAGGTTTAAGTACACAATTGAGTACGTTAGTATGAAATTAGTGAGTAAACTTATAAGTAAGCAAATAGGTAAAACTAACATTACAGATCTAATACTTGGAAAAACATTTATCATAATTTAAAAGTATCTTAGGTGACTGTAGGTAACTCTCTGGAGAACTAGTGAAGGCGCCTTTCTAAGACTTTCAAACAGGTGGATATTTTGTTAAATTAACCGTAATAAATTGACTATTAAGTCCTACTTCGCAGTTGTTTATGAGTTTGAAAACGACTGAGCGATTTTTTTATTGTGCAACTACATAATAAAATGAATATATAGTTTTAGGTCACTTTATTTTAATTGAAGAAAATACTAACAAATGTTAATCTGTCACTTTATCTGGAACCCTTTCAGGGTTACTGATACAACCAAGTTCGGATAAAGAGCTGGGTATGAAGTTAACAACCCTATCCCTTAAAAATCTTTATCAAAAAACACTAATCAGCGCAAATCTGTGGAACATCAAATTACCTAATACTTAACAATTTTAATTAACATAATTAGGCTCAAAAATCTTAATAATGTCATTTAAGCGGTCTAAGTTGTTGTCGCACGAAATAATCCAGAACAGTCAGTTAACCACATCCCAGACCCAATAAAGTATCACTGCCAATACTGACTCTATGAACCAACTAATTTATTATAAAAGTTACATGAAGTTTTTGCATTTATTGAAGCATCACAAGCAGCAAATAAAAATGGTCTAAAGAAAAAAAAAAGGAAAAGGTTAAATGACCGAGTTCATAATTATAATTATATACACAATACATTTTATGTTCAAAAGTACTTCACTGAAATAACTATGTTCTTTTCAAAGGCAAGAAGAGCTTAGTTTACATTCAAACTTTTTTAAAGGTGGAGACTGATGGACATACGAACAAAAATCAACACTTAGTATTGGAAAACGGTTAGTTCCAGATAATGATCAATCATGAACTACCAAGCACACGAAAACAACTGGTAAAATTGGTTTTAAAAATAGGTGGATGATACTGGAAAGAAGTTTTAGACCGTAAAGGTGGGGTTTGGAAGCACCATGAATGATAGGTCTAGGCTTAATACCTGGGAATGAAAGATGATCAGTGAAAGCCTATATTGATCCTAACAGAATAAACGTTGCTTTCAGGATATCTTGTTCGTTCACAAACCCCAGTGATTTGACGCCTGAAAGTAGAAACTTGATTTTGTTACCATGATTATTTAATATTAAACATGAAAACAATACTGCTGAGCTAAGAAGAATAAGTGTATCGGTAGATGAACTAGAAAGAAGTTGATGTTTCTTCAGCTCTGCGTTCAGATAAGTGTATTTACCGTAGACATAAAACATCACCTCATTTTTCAGTGAAAAAAGTACATCCTTATCCTTGTTAATAAAAAAAACTGCAAGAAACTCTACATATTCCTCCAGAGTTCTGTACAAAAGAGAGTCTTGCAAAGTGTCAAGTATACACAACTCAGCAATTACGATTTCACTTTTGGAAAATGGATGGCCTAATTTGAGCATGACTCTCTCTGCATCCGCTGTTTTGAGAATTTTGTGTCTATAGGATAACTTTGTGACCACTTGCAGAACAGTGATAAGGAAAAGTAATATTTTTCTCTTCATTGGTATGGAAGGCTGATCGAAATTAGTTATCCACTCTTCGAACGACGTATCTGTAAAATGCAAGAGTAAAAATCTGTCAAACATCTCAATGGTTTTGAAAGCGACTTCGTCAGGGGCGTTTAACTGTCTGCACAAATTCATGACAAAATTACATATGTTTTCACTATAGAAAAGGCCACGATATATAGAGTACGGTTTGCAAATCTCAGGATCAAGTTGGTTCGGAAACTTTAACCATTTTTGAAGCTCCTCATTGGTCAAGTCATCCATCCAGATTTAAAAGACGATCACTAAGCATCTTCAAAAAGTGAGCGAGAACGATGGATAAGGTCAAAACTAGCGGGGTAGTTCAGTTTCAGTTTCGATATGGAAGCGATAATTTCAACACTATATGAAGTGATTAGCTAGTCACCCGTTCCTTCCATTCTGAATATGGAGTACATCACAAGTCATGGGGGGACATGGTATCACTTATAGTCCCTCTAGAAAATGGAGGACGAAACATTTCAGTAACATTTCGAATAATCCCTATCCAATATCCAATATATTCAATAACTTTTTCATAACCTAGTATAGACCCATTGATTCTTTATGCTCGAATTTTTCCTTAACGGTTTCAGGTATATATTGGTGTTCAGTGGATGGCTGTCTCGCCATTCCACTGCCATAATTCTAGTCAGCTGTTAGTCATATGTGTATTTGTACGTTCCATGATTTGAGTGCGACTGTCTCTTGGCAGTAGGGTTTCTGGATACCAGTAGTTATCAAATTATCAGGTCAGAGCTAACTTAGTTGCGATAAGGAGGATAATAGGGCGAAACTTCTGATTATGATGAAAATTCCAGAACTATGTAAATGAATAAATAAGTTAATTAGCGGAGGAAATAGTGTAAGACGGAAGAAAGGGAACTGAAGGGGAAACAGAGATAATAGGCGGGACTGAATAAGATATTCATCTGAGGAAATGACAATGATAACAACTAGCAAGTTTTAAGTGGTGCACCAAGCACATCCGGATCACGGAGTAGATGATAATCTGTATATCAGAAACATAGTGTTTTGTACACCATTTTCAGATCACCTCCGATTCTTATGTAACACAGAGAGATCAATCTCAAGCTCCGGAATCAATCTTCTTCAGGTCTGTTCTTCATCACTAGTCGCTGCACTGGAGCCAGATGGGAGGAGAGGATGTGCGACATAGTCGCGAATCCGAAGGTGTGGGCGTGCCTATATCTTAAACAATGTTAAGAATAATTCTAGGGTGATAGAAAGAAGCTGTCTTTGCATAAAGTGAAGAGCTGCGTTGACCTTGGTTGCATGCCCTATGTAGTTCAAATTGGTGTCTCGACCTTCAGTGGTTGCCAAATATAGATCGAGAAATGAATGAGCGGCTCGCCACTTAGAGTGTACGTCGTTTGTGTCACGTCAGGCAGCATGTTCATAACGTGACGTCATTGTCTTTAGAACTATGGTTATCGTCGCGCTTTTGAAAGAATCAACAGAAGTAACCGTCACAATAACTCCTGGTAGAGCCCATAACTTTCGGTGATGTGAAAATCTTTTTCAACGATGGAGAACCTGCTGAGGAAATCTCTCTAAAGGCGCGATTATATAAAGCATCACTAACATTTATAGTACCCTGTGTTTACTGCAGCTGAAAACGTGGAGATTCCTGGATGTAGTGTCGGATATATTGTGTGAATTTTCCTGCTTAGTAGTGAAACAATCTGTGTTAACTACTTGACACCAGACAAAAAAATCTTCTGAGTGTAAAAGAAACTGAAGATCTAGAGAGTTAGTGGAGTAATTAATGAGCAGTAAAAGGAGGAGAAATTAATGAGTTTGAACTTTTGGTGCTTCACCAGTCTAAGAAAACCGATTTGGCGACTGTTGCAAACTTTGACAACTTGTTGTCTATCAGTCACGTAATATCAGTCACTGTAAATCCATAGAATTCAGTTTCTGAGACGAACTGCAGTGATCTACTCTATGGAATGCCGGTGAAGAAAAATTCTACATTCCTTCAAAGCCCGTAATTGGATATTTTTGAGCTTGCTGGTGTGTTTTTGCTTATGAGCCCGTGAATTTCACTGATCTTGTAAAGATGAAATCACACAAAGTTAAGGTTGGTTTGGGAAAAACGAGGCATGTATTATTGGACAGAATTATGACATAATGAGAATAAATGGGTCTCGCTCTAATACCCAATTACCTATCAAGGGGTAATGTAATGCTAGGACGTTCAACTTATCACTAACCATCATTTTTGATCTTTATGTGAGATTGGTGAGGTATTCTAACTTTTTCAATTTTCTGACTACATGTACTGTGTAACGTTTTGTAGTTTTATCACTGCAGAAAAACAGCTGTCTCAGGCAGTATGCTCATTCATTGAGTGTGTGTGTTTTACTTTGGCTTGTATGGAGTCGGTTTTAAAGACGAACGGAGGTTTTTTGATCCACAGGCTGAATGTAGTGTCATTTTGGGAGTTCCATCAATGACCTGCCTAGTTTTACTTGAAATAGACAGACCACTCATTGGCTCAATTGAACGCACCCTACTCTGCTGGACAAATCCTTATCAGCACCTGTAATTTTGTCGGATTCGTATTGCATATTATCAATTTTCATATTCTTTTATGCACTCTATTGACCTACCAGTAGTCCAATCTTGTTTTCTACTACCCCACTTTTAAATTTAATACTCTTCAACTTTCCTGCTTAATTCATTGAACACATCCCCAGCACTACATTCTAAATGCTGACCTTTTGTTTGTAAACTCGTTTCATCATAACTGTTAACTGAATTATATTGATGATGAACCAATAGTTCACAAGTTGTAACAGCAAGACAAGCTCGCAAAAGGAACTTTCAGAAATAGCTTCTCAACAGGATTTGAAACACAGAGCCTCAAGTAGAACGTAAAATATTATCGTGCAGTCATTTTACGTGAGCCCAACAACACAAAATGAAGGAGGGTGGAGTTACTGACCCGCAAAAATTGATGGTGCGGCGGATGATTTCGATCTACCCATGTTTTTTGGGCAAAACATCTTATTTGCACCCATCTTTTTAGATTGATGAGTCGACAAGTCGGTGATGCTGAGGCTTCTCTCACACGATTGCTACTTCTGTAACTCATGTTTTCAACAATGTACTGAGGTCGCTATTCTGCCTAGACAACCTAATTTGACCGCTATATTACCACAACTTTCTTTAATTTTAGTGATCTATTTCTTTATCTTTATTTACCACTGGATTGTCTACTTCGCCATGAGAGGTTAGGCGGCGCTCTAGTAATATATATACGATTGCCTTGTTACCGTTCCTTTCCTTTCTCTCTTGTCGCTTCTTAGAACCCTATTCGCAGGGGTGCATCCATGGCGCCGTCGCGCAGAATGCACCTTCTGTACGTGCACGTCAAGGCCACGGATTGTATTGATCGCTTTCTAATTGTCACCTCCCAACAAATTCACTCACGAATTATGTAAACCACTGAAGAACTTTACCGTGTATCTTACCTATTTGTACTGAATTTTTAAAAGTTTTCTGTCAGTGACATGAGGTATACGTGTTATCCGAAACTGACTTTTATTGCCAAACTGACCTTGATAACATTTATAGTAAATGTGTAGCATTTGTAACAGTTTGATCTAGCCTGTACACTGGCATGCCTCTTGTAACATGCTGTGATTTGAGAATAAATATTTTATTATTATTATACATTGGTTTGGTTCTAGGCCTACAGGCATCTTCGGAATACTTCACTGAATCAGGTAATTTAGTTTAAAGACTACGATTAAATCACAGCTTTAACTTCTATAAGACAGATATAGTTATGTCTAGTTAATTATCTATCTGTGTGGAAGCTTATGGGTTCCAAAAATCGGATCACTTTCTGTACACTAGCTCACTGCCTATTTCAGACAGGACTGACATCTTGCATGCAGTGTCTAAGTGTTGGCCAAAGTAATACTGTATGCAAAGTTTATATTATCATCTACGTGGCCGACAACGTTTAGCAGCTAATGCCTAGCACTATGAATTACTTATTTTATCTCTTATCTCATAATGCATTTAGAATGATTCTGTATCTGGGTAACGAACAGTGCAAGATTATATCTAGATGATAAATGTAAATATTAGTGAGCTTAAAAGCAATATCAACAACTACAGAATTACGGATAACTTCTATTGATGTTTATGAAGTTTAAAGCCATTATCATAGTACCATATCTGACTTCAAATAATACCAGGACAACATCAATAGCGGTCTGGTAGAAATAAACGTTCATGAATGTATATATCGGAGAGTGTCTCTTCGGGATACTGCCCTCTAATCATCAGTCAATAAAAACTTAACGAAAGTAAAGCCTGTTTCTGGGAAAAAGGAAGCTCCAGTAGACAACCATTCGATAACAACTTGAAATCAGAGAGGGGATACGACGAAATTCCGTCGTCAAATGCAATGAAAAATCTAGACCTAACAGTAATAAGCGTATTAATAATACAAACCAAAATCAGAACTCCTTAAGTGTACTTGAGAAACTTATGTCTGATCATATTATTTATCTATTCACCCTTCACATTGCCAAAAAGCCAAAGTTCTGAGCTGAGAACTGATTCCGATCACGACAGTTGGAAAAAACTAGAGCTAAGATTTATCCTTCACTGATAATGTTAATAATCTTAGACCTTCGGTTAACCATAATTTTATTCGTAGATGACCTATATGTCGTATTCAAAGATGTTACTATTTTTCGTAATTATTATTTTGGATTTTAGAACTGAATTTGAACAATTGTAGTGGCGAAGTAGTGCAGGTAAATGACCTTGAACCACATTATCTCAATGTATTATGATATTGTGGCTATGTGAACTTTTTTAGTGGAAATGTACAATTTTGTTTAGTGAACAGACTTTAACATGAACAGCCGACTCACGCGTGCGAATAACTCAAGAATTCAGTATTTCGTCACTGTCAATAAATCACTGTGTGTGATTTTTACGATTTGTTGTTATTATATAAGTGTTTTTGGATTGAGTCAGCATTCGCCTGTGACCGGCTAGCTTCGACATTAGATGAATTTCGTTATTCCAATGCTGCGACTTATCATCGTCCAGACCAACGGTTTTAAATAGATAGTTTACAACACTTCACTTCATGTGGGTGCCTTAACTAGTTTTTATTCACATTCTTTTGCGAAAACAGCATTAGACACGTACAGTTTCGAAAATGTTGATCTTTGAACACTGCAAGTGGGTGTACATACATCCTTTGTTATACTCTGCAACAGTCACTATGCTTAATAAAAAATAACCAAATACACTGGTAGTATCAATAAAGGAGTCACTCTACCGAATGTTACAGCATGGACTATGAAGGATAGAGCTAAAACTCAGACAAAAACACCAAAGACTTGAAGTGTAAACCTGCGTTTCAGACAGGACGTACATGAATAAGATTACCTGCTCACTTTCGGACGCGTCCCAACAGTGGCTTTGTAATGCAACTTACTACAGAAGTTCTGTTTTCTTTGATACGGATAGTCAATACTGGAGACTGTCCACGTAAGTAGGTACTAGTCCTGACGTGACGGGTCAGCTGCGAGCTTTGGCTGGCTTCACTAGTGCAATAACTTGAGTCTAAGCAGTTTGACGCTATGGCTAGATGCATCTGAATCTACTAAAAATTTTAAAAGCTTCAACTGCTGGATAATGCTCTAGTATTGAGTTAATTACAGGCCACTGGGTGTTGCCAGCCCGATCACTGAAAACCACTTATTTTAAATTATCCCGTTAAAAATCCACAGATGTTTCGAAGACAACTGGTGGGAGAATAGAAAGTCAGAGAATAATAATGTCCAGTTAATAAATGGAAAAAACGATCTACATGTATACCGTGAAGTCCTAGGAGTGCAAAAACTATGATCACCATATTGTGCTCCGCAAAATGATACGCTTCCTAGTAGTTTGAGTGAAAATAACCCATGACGGTGGACTTGCTTCCATGTAGACAACCAAACCTATGATAGTAACTCAGGGAGAACAAATTTCAGCATCCTCCCAAGTAGCGCGAGTTCTTTGCTGGGTTCGTGAACCGAAATACGTTGAAGTGACTAAGCAAGTGATTGCAAACCTGAAGTATGATTAATCCCATTTATTTTCCTTCTTAACATTTTAAATCCCTTTGGATCCATAATAAACAAAGGGCCATAAAGATATAACAGAATTTCATTCAAAAACTATCTCATTTAAGAATCGTTTTATAAACAACGAAAGAAGCTTCAAGGGCCCAGGAACGAAAAATTGTTAGACGATGCATCAGCTGGTACGTAGGAAACTTCAGACCTTTTTATTCAGTTCGCATGATTTTCAATAACGAATGTACAATAATAAGTAAGTTTCCTGAATGTAAAACTAAGTAAAAAGCTTCTGGAGGACTTTAGATTCTAAACCAAGCAAAAATAGTCACTTCTGCACAATGTACTGAAAAATAAGGCGAGAATAATCTTTAGCTTACATTTCGGTTTTCTGCATTTAAATAAAATGTTTGATTTTTTCATAAAGTGAAGAAATAATGCAAATACATTGAGATTTTTCTTTCCAAAACTATTAATCAGATTATATCAGTTACAAAATCATGCAGTGAGTGGTTGCCTCTGTAACGACAGAGAGTTTCCCAATGGTCCTTACTTCACTTTATAGTCCATTTACAACAGCATACTGATTGCAAAAAAAGAATAACCGGTCGACAATTACCGACTCAGTCTTGCTCAGGTAAAATAATGGTTCGTTTTTGTCGTAAACAGCTTTTTGTTACAAGTAGCATCCAAGCTCTGCTGAACCACTGCTACTACGAGGGAATCAAGCTACGCAGTCATATCTTCTTATATTTTATTACTTAATCTTTTATGGAATGAACGAACAAAGGAACTTTTTATGGATAACATATAACGAAAAGTAAAAAAAACTCTTGCAATTGGATCTGTTTTTGGTACACCGACCACAATTGTTTTTCAAGCAGTTACAAAGTCTATATTAATTAATCCATGATAAATATTTATTACCGTTCTCTTCACATTGCTTAAACACTGTATCGCAATACAGCAATGTTTGATCATGGAGAAGCTACGAACGTCCCACAAACAGATTTCAACTCGACTAAAGAATTGTGAGTATTATTGTCGACTCTTTTAGAAACTTCCCCCAATTACATTTTTAGGGAATCTATGATGACTAAATGCCCACCTCCCTCTGTCCAAATATCGAAAGGTAAGAAGAAATGTCAATATGGAAGTATACTTTTTAAATCCGAAGATACCAAGAAATAACCACACAATAACAATACATGCTAGTTTTAAAATAAAATCCAAATAATCAGTTGAGTTTCAGTAAAAAAGATAGAGGGATCGGAGAACAAAGAAGAGCCGAAATGGCTACCAAACATATTGATCAGGTGTAAAATTTATGTATCTATGATCATAGTAGTGGGATTCAATAAATTCCATCTTATTATGTGGTTCTGGAGTGTAAAATGCAATTTTGTCCTTGTACGCTTGTTCTATTATAGCGCAGGAGACTTCTTTTGAAATTGTTGGCAATCTGGCAATCGATGGATAAACACTACCTTGACGTATATCATCGTCTGTAACTAATTCAGATAATTTCTAAAATAATTAAGAGCAGAAAATGTTAGAAATATTGGGATCTGTGTCATATATATGATGAAGAAAATTACTGTAAAAATGGAACATATAATTTGTGAAAATGTTACATGGGATAGGAAAATTTATACCAATGAACTACACAAGTATACATGCACATGAACAGAATTCTTTGAAAGTGGTAGTGGTCGAAAAATCATACATCTTAAGTGATAATAAACACGGTATGCTGTACTGGTTGGACTAGAAACGCGTGATCACAAGATTATGCAGTTCAGAAAATAAAAAGCTGTATATTAAATATTTTGTCCAGTGAGATAGATGACCTATTGATTAGTGAATGTCCAAACCATAGCTGCTACCTTGACACAGAGGTCGGGTTTACCTATCGTTATGACACAACTGAGTTATATTGGCTGGAAAACCTGTTCTTTCGTTCCACTATGCCGAGCAAGTAGATTGGAGAACGGTAAGACTAAAAGCAGAAACCCAAGGTCTCAGTGATAAGTTGTGCTACTGACTGATAGAAGTGAGGTGTTTTCCTTGGCCTACCAGCATCTAAAGGGATTACTGCCTTTTTACAACACGAGTTAAAAAGGTCAAACCTAAAAATGTCATACCTTACCTTACATAACGGATCCATTGCAAACGGTTTCGAGACATGTCATTCAAGGTCTTTAACCATCGAATACTATCCCCACGCGGACCCCAACCAGGTAGTCTACACTTAGTAACGTGGCTCAGTCCACTTGTCAGTGACTTCATCGATTTGTGCCATGTTTTGGTTTAGTCCTCCCTAGCTCTCTTCCAGCTTACCCATACATCAGACAACATCGCACGTCGAGGAAGTCGGTGACTGGGACACGTAACGCATGTGTCAACCACTTCAACTGATAAAGTATCAATACTTTATCTATTGATCTACCATCCTTACCTCGTACCCTTTTCCTAACACCAGCATTGTTTACTTAGTTGTCCGAGGATATTCGAGCTATGTTTCGAATACACCTATGATCGAATACTAGTAACCTACAAATATCCATAACTCTTACTGACTATTTTTCACAGCCATTAAAGAGGGACGGAGCGACGGATATCTTCCCCACTCCATAAGTGAGGGAAGTTGACAACAGCCAGTCGAGCCTTCTGTATCCATGCTCAGATTCCATCACACACCAGGCCATCAACACTAATGATAAATTAAGGGGTCAACACGCTCAACTGCTTCACTCTCTATCACTAGTTTAGGTTCCGATACAACCCAATCTTGAAGCAACATTTTGCATTCCGAGGGAGAAGTCGTATTCCAAACACGCCAGCATTGTTGCTTCGAGAGGTCAGAATACTCAGCATTTTGTCAGCGTCTTCACCAAAGAGAACTATGTCATCGGGATATTCTAAGTCAACAAGCGAATCTCCTGGTAAAAGTTCAATTCGTTAAAAGTCAGACGATGAGAGTGTCGACAATGATAAAGTTAAACAAGAATAGAGAAAGTGGACAGCTCTGATGAACGTCACTTGAATTAACCAATTCTGATGACAGTTCGCGATACGTTCTGACTCGACCAGTAGTGTTCGAGTAGAGAGCCCATTGGAGTCTAAGAGATAGTACAATAGTGACTTGCAATGTCATGAAACAGCTCGGAACAGGAGTCAATGGCGGTTTTGTAATTTTCTTTTTCTTTCTTCATATAAGTGAGCACAATTTATCTAACTTGAAGAACTTTTATTACCTGCACTATTCACCATATTATTATTATCATTATTATTATTACTCGTAATGATTACTATTCATTTTTTAATTTTCACCATACTTTCCCTCCTTTCTATAACTATTCAAAACATTATGTTTATCGTGTGACGCGTATACATTTGATTCCCCTTTGTACCAGTGTTGATGTAATTAAATAAATAAATTAGACACTAATATGAAACACTAATGACTTTCATGAGTTAACAATAGCCTTCTCACACTATTACTAAGATACAGAAACATGAGTGTTCAACATTGTAGGTGTGATGAAACTGTTTAGAAATATTTTAAATACAAATGTTATATTTTGGTAAAAATACTGTGACAGCATTTGAGTAACTATGTTTTTCAGGAGTATTGAATACCATATTTTACTGAAGAAAATTTCTAGAAACACAGGACAACATGATAAATAAGATGTATGCAGTAATTTGTTTTTACAAAAAGAAGATTAAATTAGAAAGAAACAACAACCAACAATATTAGAGTTTACCTTTGCTGCAGTTAATAACAATTTATTAGTCAGAGGACGAATAACAGCCAGTGATAATGCATTAACCAAACTTGGAAAAACATAACAATTATTTCCTTGACTCGGTTTTAATAAGCGATCATCTGGTGTTCGAACAGGTTCTGAAGGGGAACCGCTAACAAATATACATCTCCACTACACATATACATATAAAGCGGAGAAAATAAATGAAAAAGAGTTAGTGAAAGTATTTAATGCATTTCATACTGTTTGATGTACATGTTCGACTAAAACAAAGTAAAATAACTACTTTCAATCAGAAAATGTGCAGTGGTTAAAGTGGTCTATTTTCATACACTATGTCTTATGTTCAAACTCCACTCCACCGAATTCGGTTTGGGCAACAGTGGCCGTCTATCAACAACCTTTACACTTAGAGTGTGGCATAAAGCCAGGTACACGAATCTGCACTTGACGAATGTGTCTAATCACCATATCATGATGATAAGCAGAAAAAAAAGAATTTATTATAATCAAAACAAAATTTTGGTAGAAGTTCGATAAGAATGAACTTATTCTTTCATATCTTTTTGAAGAGATTACTAACAGGTAGTGCATACTTGAATAATCTTTGATAATGCTAATGCTTGTCACGAAGGAACAAAGTATTCAAAAAAGATCACAGATACAATTTAGAAAATAGCAAAATAAAACAGCCGGTTAAAATGCTAACGTGGATGAATTGCCGTTTTAGATCAATTCAAAGATTCCCAAGAAAATTTACGGCTATTTTATACGTTTAAATAGTCATATTTCAGAACCTGGTATGCCAAAACAATATCATATTCTCCTGTTTTAGTAGTTTATCGATGTATATCTATCCTAACCACTCAGTATACACAGTAGTATATTTACAAAAACAATTTACGAAAGTAATTTTAGTAATTAACACACTAACATACTTCTGTGGCCTTGTAAGCCATCTGGGAAGTGCATTCGCCTAAATTGGACGGATTGCTCAGAACAAATATGACAGGATTCCTATTGATCGTAGCCAATTCACGAAGGATATCACGTGTGAATGCACCGCTTTGTGCGGAAGCACCTGTAAAGAAATAAAAAACTTCATCAGTAGAATTGGATAGAACTTACTTTTAGACAGAAAATACGTGAACATAAGCACAATCTCTTCTTCGAATCATAAAATAAACTCATTGAAATAACACACCTTAAGTTAGTCAAAGTCAAAAGATTTTTGACCTGTCAGAAATATTTGTATATGTAGATCTATAAATAATAAATGCTCTGCAGCAAATGGTTAGTTTAAGTTAAAACCCACATTAAAGTGACGAATACAATGACGCCATTCAAGAACAAAAATAACATTGAAAATACTTGCCTACAGAAAGCACGTGTTAGCTAATAAGAAAATACTTAGTTAATCTAGCCGATACAGAGTAATAAATTCTGAATACTCATGAGTAGTATAATTTTAATAGGCGACATTCAGAAGTGTTGTGCTAAAATCACATACTAGGATGAATAAAGTATCTAAATAAGTAAAATGTTCTTACAGTACACAGGAAAGAGACATCTACCCCATAATAATAGTGATCGAGGTAAGAGTGCTTTGTTTAGTGTTTTTGCAAGGGAGTGGGGGCTAGGAGCAAAACTAGTATCGAAGGAGTCCAAACAAATAAATTTAGACAAATTTAATAGTGAAAAATAGATTTAAAATTAAAACAAATAGCATCTGACTGAAAGACAAAATAAATTTACGAATATAGAGTCAATTACCAATTAAGACAGAAGGTCGAATGAGCCGAACAGCTTCTAAAAGTGAATCTACTTGAGGATAATCAGAACGAGCAAATTCTGATTTTGCCGCAGTAAGTTTACGATTCTGGAACGAAACAAAACAACCATGATAATCGGACAGAAATTCGTCTATTAAGTAGTGAAAAAAAGTTTATAATATATGTATTTCCAAGTTATAGTGTAGTATGGTACTTTAACAACCATATGGGTTCACATAAGATTAAGAAGAAATTGAGAAGTTGAAAAACAAAGGAGTAAGAATAATAACACCGATGAATGAATGAAATTGAGGATAATCAAACGATGTGAGAACTTTAAGTTTAGAGAAAAGATAAAGAAGTAATGCATCTGATTTAGAGACCACTTAAGATGTCTAACGACTACTGATTACAGTATTCACGTGTTACCCGACCGCGAAGTCTGCTCTTACAGATACAAAAGTTAATGACTTCGGAAATCGATACTATCATAATTTACCGTTACAGTCTTCATGAAATTTACCCCTACGCTAGCTGATATTGAATGTCATGGAAGTTGGTAGCTAGGATATATGTTATACATCTACATTCACCTTAGTCGGTAAAGGTTCATAGCTCTGTTAACCGATTTAAAATTAATTACCACGTAAAATCATAAGCCTGAAGACGTGAAGCAGTACTTCAAGAACAGTTATCAACAAATACTAAGAACCAACTCATGTTTCTAACTACATAGAACAAATCAAAGAATATGCATAGTCTATATCTTTAATAACAGATATGTGAGGGAATTGAGAAAAGTTGCAATGATTTTAAGCGTCACTGTTTAGTAAATCTCCTAAAAAAATAATTTAATTAAACTGAAAACAAAAGTGAACTATTTGTTTGATGACGTTTCCAAGGTTTTTTCTGACTGTATTATCTCAAAGAATACCTTTGTAAAAAGGTTATTAGAAAGAATTTTCTGTACAGTCAAATGCTGTCGACCGCGCGAAAGGTCAAATATATCATCTGGTAACTTGAGCGGGCAGAAAACCATGATTTGAGTAGTATAGCATAAATTTGTTTCAGATTGTTGAGTGATGTTATTTTGCTTAAATCACTATTCTTACGTTTCGTTTAATTTTAATAATGTTGCGTATAAAAAAACTAGATATCGTGAACGAATGAACCATAAGTGATAAGAACATGTTTTAAAGAAACGCTAAGGTCATTATTACTATCATACAATTTTATATCTAAAAAAAGTTTGTGTATTATATTGAGCCCTATGTGATAAGGTTGTTACTATAGAAGTAGCAATATTGTCTGGTCTGATCGATTAATTCGCTCAGTGCTTATGGGACCGAGAACCTTTTATTTCAACAATGATCCAGTGATCAAAGAAGAAAGACAGAAATCTTAGGGCCTATCAGTCCCCGAGTTACTTGCAATCAAGTATCAAATCTGATGATATCACCAACCAGATTTCTATTGCGGATTCGTTCCTTCATCTAATTAACAATAAATTAAGGAAGGCAAAACATGCAATCATAGTTTATACGACAAACGAATAATTACAATTAAGAGAATGTACATACAGTAGCCCAAATGTCTAATAATTATGCAGTAAAATACTAATAATAACTCCGTCCGTAGCCCTTCTGAGGCTATTGTCAGTCCCAAGCCTGAATATAGCAGGACGGTTGGGCATAGAGTTAGCAACCTCATCTCGTAAAAAACAAACTTGATGAAAAGCGCCAACCAGAAAAAATTCAAACAGTTTGCCATGATAGTTGAAAGGTTTTCATTCAATAGAGTTATGACACCTGTTATGGGTATGAGGGAGGATGTCACTTCCCAGCTACCCACACCGTGGAATGGTGTTTCTTGAAGAACTTGAAATAGAAAGGTAGTTTACTGTTGGTCTTAACGACCTGGAAGCGTGACCGCAGAGACAAGGGGACAACTGATTGAGGCCGGTCACGCACAGCCTTTTTATGAGAGGTTTTTAAAGAATTAGCTCCGTTCTTGTTTAAAAGGCCTTACCGCAAGAGACGGAAATCCATGAAGTGTGACATTTTTAGGGTCGACCTTTTCCAACCCCTTCCTTCCTTGTGAGAAGGTAGCATCCCTGCAGATGCTGGTTGTCCGAGGGAGACACCTAACTGCCGCCACACCCATTCACAGTCAGCAGTACGACTTCGCCCTCAGACCTTGAGTAGCTGCTTTTAGTCTCGTTGTTCTCCAATCGTTCTGACTGGCATGGTAGGACCTACAGGGACATACGCTTCAGTCAATGTAGCTCCATTGGGTCATCACGATAGGGAAGCCCGACCATCACGTCAAGGTAGCAGCTACGATCGGGGATATCGAAACAAGCGTAAACAGCACTTCATGGATGGGAATCTCATGGACACAGGACCATTAAAGTATCCTTCAAAACAAAGAAAGAAGGTATTACAATGTACATCATCCAGTGCTATGCGCCTAACAATGGCGGCGCGTTAAAGATCGATTCTTCGAAAGTCTGCATTCAGTCGTCCAGAAATGCTCATCAAAGGCTTTGACCATGCTGATGGGAGACCTAAATGCCGACGTCGGCATGGACAACACTAGATATGAAGATATCATGGGACGACGTGGACTGGGAGAAAGGAACGAAAATGGTCAGAAGTTTGCAAACCTATGTGCCCTCAACAAACTGGTCATAGGCGGCACAATGTTCCCACACAAACACACACAAACAGACATGAGTTCCAACGGATCACACCACACAGAACCAAATCGACCACATCTTCATCAATAAAATGTTCAAAGGGACCATGGAGCACGTGAGAACCAAGAGAGGAGCTGATATAACCTCAGATCACCACCTTGTGGTGGCCTAGATGTAACCGAAAATCAAGAAGCACTGGACAACTCGTCGAACAGCAGTAAAAAGTTTATTATGGCATTTCTTAGGGACACTGGCAAACTCAACGAATTCAAGGTAGGTGTCAGTGATGGGTTCCAGGCCTTTCACGGTTTTCTCAATGAAGATGAAACTACCGTGGAGAACAACTGCAAAAGGAATCAAAGAAGCAATAACTTCAACATCTCACGAGGTTCTGGATCACAAGGAATGGATCACCACTGATACGCAGGATAAGATTCAAAAAAGGAAGGACAAGAAGACGATAATCAATAACAGCTGGACAAGATCACAGAATACCAAAACACTGACCGAATACACAGAAGCAAACATGCAAGTGAAGAGGAGCATTAGAAACCATAAAAGTAAATATGTAGAAAATCTAACAGTGATAGCATAAAAAGCTGCAAGAGAAGGAAACATCAGACAACTATATGATACAACAAAGAGGCTTACTGAAAAATATAGTCAACCAGAATGACCAATAGAAAACAAGGAGGGAGAAGCAGTCGCCGACAATGAATTACAGCGAGACAGGTATATGTAAGTACTTTGAAGAACTCTTGTAAAGACCAGCCTCACTGAACCAACCCAACATCGAAGTATCACTCACAGACCTCCCAATCAATATTGGCATACCAACAATTGGAGAGATCAGTATGGACAACAGGAAAATCGGAAGCGGCAAGGCAGCAGAACTAGACAACATTCCGAGGCACTGAAAGCAGACATACCAGTAACTTCAAAGAAGAACAAGTGCCGAGAGACTGGAAAGAACACCTGATCAAGATACCAAAGAAAAGAGATCTCAGCATGAGTGAGAACCACTGAAGCATCACTTTACTGTTAATACTAGGGAATGTCTACAACAAAGTGTTTTTAAACAAAATGAAGGACTCCGTACACGCCCGACTACGAGAACAACAGGCTAGATCCCGTAAAGATCAATCGTGTACCGACCGAATGGCAACATTATGGATTATTGTGGAATGACCAATTGAATGAATTTACCACTCTACATAAACCTCATTGACTACGAGGAAGCATTTGACAGCGTCGGCAAGACGACACTATGGAGGTTTGTTCGACACTACCGAGTGCCTCAGAAGATAGTCAACGTCATGCGCAATTCTTATGATGGACCACACTGCGAAATTGTGCACAGAGGACAGCTGACAGACTCGTTCGAGGTGGAGACCGGACGGAAAACAGTGGAAAGCAAGGATGCAGCTGAACGATCTAAAACTCACAGATGATCTGGCTCTTCTATCCTACACGCAACAACAAATGTGAGAGACGACGACCAGTGTAGCAGCAGCAGCTCTCATCATGCATAAGGGGAAAAGCAAGATTCTCTGATACAACACAATATGCTTCAACTAAATCACATTTGACGGAGAAGATTTCGAGGATGAAGAAACCTTTGCATATCTGGACAGCATCATTAAAAAATACAGTGGATCTGATGCCAATGTAAAAACGGATCAGCAAAGCAAGAGCACCATTCCTACAACTGAAGAACGTATGGAACTCTAAAGAACTAGCAACCGACATCAAACTCAGAATTTTCAATACGAATGTCAAAACAGTTCTGCTGTATGTGGAGGAAACTTGGAGAATCACGAAAGCCATCATTCAAAAGATACAGATATTTATTTACAGTATTCTACACACGATAGTGAGGATCCGTTTGTCAGACACCATAATCTACAACCTAATGTGGGACAGAACAATCCGGATTCCAATGGAGGGAGAAATCAGGAAGAAGCGCTGGTTGGAGGCCTATGCTCCATAAGAGGTAACACATGTAAGTAAGTAAAATACTAACAATAATTTCAAAATTTACGGCTCTTAAAATTTGTTCCATTATGACAAAATTGACCAGAACTAAATAACCACGCACAATAATAATATCATGAAAGTTTAAATTTAACATTCACTAAAATCATGACTTCGATAAACTTTATAAACATATCCAAGCGTGAACCAATTGATATAATTAAGTGGAGTGTAAACATTGTAAACATAAACTAAGTTTTCAGGTTAGTGTAAACATAATACACTGGTTATGACAAACTACGAATGAATTGGAAAATGTGATATTCAAGGTTTTTTTCAATGGTATTAGTCTATAATAAAACACAGAACTTTGGACTGATTTGTTAGGATTTTGAACACTTAGCCAATTTTTTTCAAGCATTCATTCCAGCAGTTAATAATAAAATATTCACGACCAATAACATCAATCATTATGTGAAACAAAACTTGGTGGATACACGGATAAGTGTTCCACAACATAGCAGTTTAGAGGTATGATAAGCGGTACTTTATCTTTAAGTGTAATAGTAAGAAATTATCAATTCTGTACAATCAATCTCCATTACTAAACTACAATATACCTATTCTATAAATTACTTTTAAATTGATTACAATAACAAATTAACTACACAGTTTTATGCCGGTATTATTGCAGTCACTCTTGTTGCTATTGGCCTTATTGTTACATTAAAAAGTTTCATCTTTAATACTTAAGCTATCTAGAATTCCACTGGATTTCAAATTTTACCACAACCACTGAAAACTAAGAGGCACTGAACAGTTATTTCATCAGAGTAAGAAACCCCTCGGCAGTGACCATTTACGGTCTTGCCAAGAAGCAAGACTAAGACCTTTAAGTCTCGTGACGAGCGTCTAACCTTTATACTGATGATTCATCATTCGATGATTTACTGCTTGCCTTACAGCCAGCGTTGGTTTGCATTAAAAAACCTTCGAAGTATTATGCACAAGCTATATTTGTGGTACTACGTTCTATCGATAAGATCAGCGTGTATGTACCTCTAGAGAGAACGAAATAAAGTGAACGTATTTCACTTAATAATGCTTTTTATCCTTGCTGGACAGAATTTAAGTACTAGGATAAACATGTCTGCCTTCAATAGACTGAGTTGGAATTCAATGGTCTACAATTCCAATTCCATTCTATTGCGATACTGTTTGACGACACTGAAGATAAATGTTTTAGTCTTAATACGGTTAAACGACACCAAACTCAACTGCTCAGCAAAAATTCGGGTGTTCCATCTTGAAGTTAGTGGTCGTGAATAGGCGTGCAATGATTAGTTTGAGGGACTGTCCTCGAAATCGATCAAATTCTTCCCAAACTACCAATTTAAACCCTCATTCATATTGGTTTATTTGTTTTTGTTTTTATTTAAGCCTAACAATGTGTCCAGAAATGTTAGTGTAGATTCAGATGTGTAAGTAAACCCGTAATAATTAAAGTGATTAAGTAACAGGTGACTACCAGTTTATTTTCAGTGCTAAAAAATAACTAGCACAATATGATGGTGCATTAACTGATGATAAACATTGTTAAATAAGCATTTACATACTGTAACAATTAAGCCTTCAGAATCCATTATAAAAATGCGTGATTTCGCTTCATCTTCAGAGAAACCCTCCTCCATAATCGCTTGTACTAACAACCGTGCTATACCAATAGACGCCTAAATAAATAAAATAAATAAATTGGTTAATGACTTTGTAAACTCACAATGAATGATAATGGTCGAAGCGCGTTGTACACAGCTGGTGGAGACCTAAGCAGGAACCGACCGGGGAAAAAAACTACAGGTGTCCAATTAAATCATTGTATTAGTCCGAGGCAATCTGTGACTAGTGAGATGAATCATGTGCAACGAACGATGCAGGCTTTCCTGTCGGGATCTAGCAGATAACATTTATGGTTGGAAAGTTACAACTATGACTCAAAGTATTGTATTGTGTGACTGCATTAAAGCATAACATTTTTCTGTATTCATTATTCTTCTATAAAACGATTTACTGAACAGACCAATACATGACTCACGAAATTAATCTTTTTTCGTATCATTTTTACCTAGGATCTTTGATGTTAAAAAACAAACATTTTGAATATGAGGATAGAATTCAAATATCATTGCTTAACATTTATCTAATGGAATTAAATTTTCATACAAATGCATACAAGGCATAACTGAAGACTGGTAAATTTTAATTCAGTTAAACTTACACCTTGAGAATTAAGAAACTCTTATGTAATGCATTCAGCATGTTATTAGAAGGCGTGACCAGCAAAGCTAACCCGAGTGCATACAAAAAGCAACCATGGATATTATTTCACTGTATCTGTAAGTTTTCTCCAGTACTATATAATTATTAAGAGGATTAACAATGATATTTGGTTTTTATTACCAAACCTTTGATTGGTCATATTCAAATGAATGAAATAAAGGCATAACTTACTCCTCCTCCGCCATAAAAGAGATAATTATTCTGTGATATTTTCTTCTTTGTTACTTTAGATGCAGTTATTAGACCAGATACAATAACCACAGCAGAACCTGATTTAATGAATAGAAATGTTAAAAAAAATTTCAAATCCATTTTACACGTGAATATGTTTTAATTAAAGATGTTCATAACATTGTTCTAGCCGAATCAATATTCTATCCTTAACAGAACAGTAGAATATACATGCTATCATGAGTTGCTAATCAGAATAAAGAGTAAACTACTTTAGGTTATTAGATGAGACATTTAAATTTCAAGTTTGAGACCACTCGAATAAAACTCAATCAACGGTACTCAAAAATTTGAATAATAAAATCGTTTATTGTGAAAACTAAATAAGTGTAATCGATTCAATGTAATTTATGGGAAAGTCTTAATTAATACATACGAAATTACAGTCTTAGATACTCACACAAAACACTTTAAGGCCATGTCCAGTTATAAGAGTTCATTTTTACCATATCCAGTGAATGTATATATATATATATATATATATATATATATATATATATATATATATATATATATATATACCACAGACAGACAGACAGATACAACGCAGAACTTCGTACGTAAGTACATCAGTTCAGGTTGCCACTCCACATCAGCACACAGAGACACAACTGTCAGTTCAAATCCAAGAATGACAGAGATAGTAGAAGTATTAGAGAGTAGTGGAGAAGATTAGGGAGCGAAGATATGATTCGAGGAGTATAATTCAGTGAGATAAATTTAGAAGGAGAAAGATAGAGGTTATGAGGAATTCAGAAGGTTAGAATTAGAGGGAACACAAAGAGTGGATGCACCTGCGCCATTGCGAACGATTTTCAGCCATGTCATTCAAGGTCTCTAACCATTGGTGACTATCGTCTCGCTGACCCCAACCAGGTAGCCTACATCTACCAACATCACTCAGCCCACTTGTCAGTGACTTCATGGATTTCTGTCGTGTTTTGGTTTGGCCGCCCCTAGCTTTCTTCCAATCTACTCCTACACCACAAAACATTGCTCGTCGAGGTAGTCGGTGGTTAGCCATACGTAACACATGTCCCAACCACCTCAACTGATGAAGTTTCAATGATTCATCTATTGATTTGCCATCCTTACCTAGTACTCGTTTCCTAACAACAGCATTGCTTATACGGTTGTCCCAGGATACACGAGCAATGCTTCGGAGACATCGATGATCGAAGACTAGTAACCTACGGAAGTCCTCAACTCTTAAGAGCCAAGTCTCGCATCCGTACAGTAGGACGGAGAGAACTGCTGCACTGTGCACTCGTCCTTTGGTTAGCAAGCAGATATCTCGCCAGCGCCATAAGTGACGCAGGTTGGCAAAAGCCAATCGAGCCTTCTCTATCCGAGCTGAGATTACGTCAGTCACCAGGCCATCGGCACTGATGAGACTCCCAAGATAAGTGAAGCGGTCTACACGTTCGACTACTTCACTCCCTATCACTAGTTTAGGTGCCGATGAAACGCAATCTTGAAGCAACATTTTGGGAAAACCGCATCCCGAACATGCTTGCATTGTTGCTTAGGGTAGTCAGGTGAACACAGTGCTGAGCTGTAGAAAAACAAGATAGTATCGAATACTTGTGTTTTTTTCCTGTCACGGTTTCATTAGTTTCGACCAACAAACAAACACTAAACCAAGCCCAGTGTATTTGGGTCTGTAGTGAGAATGATAGTAGATTATTAGAGTTAAGTAGAGGATCAGTAAGTTATGTATTGTTTGCAAGCTGCTCGAGCACTACAGAAAACATACAAGCAATATGTAAACTGATATTTTCTTTTTTACAAACTTGAGAGTGTGAAAGATGTTCTAAGCTCTTCCTAATTACGTTTAATCTTTATGCTAACTGGTTCTGGACTGCTTTATCAAGTAATGTGTGATATATTATGACACGGGTGCGCTGCAAGTTGTCGATTCAAGCAAGTAACATTCAATTACCAAATTACAGTTTTTAAACTTGTCTGATCTACTGAGAATCGAGTATCATTGGTGGAGTCACTAGCCTTCAAAGAACGCTTGTGGTCTAGAACCTACACGAAATTGATCAGTTAGAGTTTTAATACGGTCTAGTGAATAAAGTAGTACATTAGGACTATGTTTAGCATGCGGAATCCCCATACAGAACTCAAGCGGAAGAAAATCGACATAGATTTAAGATGAATCTTTGTTCAGTGTCGTGTCACTTCACGGACCTTCAATGCATTTCTCGCTGTGTTCAATGACAACTATTCACTTCATAAACTGTAGGTGATATATGACTGATTATCTGTACATTCAATTTCACTGGTCTTATTCTACAAACCTTTTGTAACACCACCAGACTTATGCTAGTTAGCAGGACAAGGAAAAGCAGAGCAACAGTCTCGTTTACCGCACTAAGGTTGGAGCTGTGAAATACTAGCTTAGTGCAAGGACATATCAAGACTACATAACTTAATTCCTCACACTCATCAAAAGTACTAAAAACAATATGTTATGGCGTCTCAATAAAGGATAAACATAAAAACATAAAAACAACCTTGTATGTCGTCATTGAATGTTATGTGATTTGGACGATATCTTTCTAAAAGTTGAAAGGCATTTGAATTCTTGAAGTCGGCAAAATGGAGGCAAACGTTTGGTCCATAACTAGATGTGATAAGGTTAATTTTAACAATATTACAACATACCGAGCAGATAATGATTCCACAACTTCGTCCATGAAAGAAATATACTCTTCTCCAGTGGCTCGCTTCTGACGAAGACCAACATAAAACTCATCCTGACAAAAACAAAAACGTTTATAATGAAGAAGATATTGAACAAATGCATCCTTGAGAAATTTGTGATACTATATGATACTATATTTTTTTTCTAGAGAGTAACGAATGTGATATAAACTAAGATTTGTCATCCCATCTGGCTTTGATGATAAGGAGCGGAGTTAGCTTAAGCATATGCAGATAGAAAGCCCACGCGATGATTGCAAACAGTGATGGGTAGCGAAAGCAAAAGAGATAGAAAAGGAGGCGGTGATAGATAACAGTAAACAACTATTCAGACTCACCAACGAAACTAGTATTAGAAATCCGACTGTAGATAGGACTATCTCAGAAAAAGATGTGAACATTATTCATTCTCAATCCAGGAGGTGGGATCGATGGGGGAAACACTTTGACAATAAGTCCAACTGATCTTTAGCAACACCACTACGGCCAGTCAACCTGAATGGGGAAATGATGAAAGTCCTCCAACTCTTAATGAGATTAGAAAAGCTTTACGCAATCTAAGGCGAAGTAGAGCAGCAGAACCTGACAGGCTCTCCCATGAGATTTTTGAGGATGGTAATCCAGTCTTAGAAGTTAGACTGGTTGAAATGTTAGCTAAAATCCGAGAACTGTACCTAATCTTTGCTATTTCTTTACAGTCCTGTTTTTTACTGCATAGCACATTTATAGTTTAGTAGCACTTTGTACCAACACGAATGTGTTTGAATAAGTAATAAATATAATTTTTCATAATGCTTAATTTTTTTGGATTTACTAGCTGTAAAAATTCTATCTTTTTCCCGACCGTAGCTGTTACCTTGACGTGGTGGTCGGGCTTGCATATCGTGATGACCCAACCGAGCTATACTGGCTGGAACATATGTTCCTGCAGGTCCTAGCATGCCAGGCTGGTCGACTGGAGAACGATGAGACTAAAAGCAGCTACCCAAGGTCTGAGGGCGAAGTCGTACTGCTGACTGCAGAGGGGTGTGACAGCAGTAACGTGTTTCCCTCGGACAACCAGCATCTGCAGCGATGCTGCCTTCTCACAAGGAAGGAAGGGTTAGAAAAGGTCGACCCTAAAAATGTCACACTTCACCCTACCTCACGGATTTCCGTCTCCGGTGGTAAGGGTGCCCACTAAGGGCCTTTAAGAGCGGAGCTAATACTCAAAAATCCTTTCATAAAAAGGCCGTGCGTGACCGGCCTCAATCAGTTGTCCCTTGGACTCTGCGGTCACGCACCCAGGTCTCTAAGACCAACACTAATCTATCTTCCTTTTCAGGTTCCTCAAGAAACAACCTTCCACGGTGTGGGCAGCCGGTAAGCGACAACCGCCTTCATACCCGTAGCAGCGCCCGAGACCAAATTGGTCAAAATCAAATCCTTCCTACACCCCCTAGTACCTCTCTTATCTCCACGACTAACTCTTCTCACATTCATTTATCACAGTGCACAGCTAATGCAGACGACACGAGTTCGCGAAACGTCGTTCCTGGTCTCCTTAAACCCCGTTCTAAACTACATGTTGGAGCTTTTAATGTACGGACATTGTGTCAAATAGGGCAACAGGCATCATTAGCTAGGACTTTAAAATCTCAGGCCATCGATGTATGCTGCGTCTCGGAAACGCGCATACAGGATCCTAGTAAAGTCATTAACCTGATTCCACCTTGTCAAAACGAAGAAGCAGCCCGATTCACTCTTCGTGTATCTGGAAGCCCTGATGCTGCTTCCAGGGGTCTCGCTGGCGTAGGCATAGCGTTGAGTCCTAGGGCAGAATTATCTCTCCTAGACTGGATCCCAGTAGATAGTCGTTTGTGTGCTGTCCGACTAAACGGGGCAGTAAGGACTCGTAAAGACAGGGACACTCGTCGTTGCCTCTTCGTCATATCAGCCTACGCCCCCACTGACTGCAGTTCAGACGAGGTGAAAGATAAGTTTTACAGAAAGCTTTCGAACCTCCTCCAAAAAGCCAGGCGCTCTGATATAGTAATAATGGCTGGTGACTTTAATGCTCAAGTAGGTAGACTAAGTGAAAATGAAAGACACCTAGGTGGATGTTATGGTGTCGCGGCTCAGAGAACAGACAATGGAGACCGTCTGTTGCAAGTATGCTCAGATAACCGCCTATTCTTAGCAAACACTAACTTTAGGCATAAGGAAAAGCATCTGTTGACCTGGCGACCCCCGAAGTCGTCTCAACGCTGGACTCAACTAGATCACATCGCCATCAGCCACCGATGGAGGGGTTCGATAGAGGACTGTCGCTCGTTCTGGGGCACATGTTTAGATTTAGATCATGCCCTAGTGCGAGCACGTATTTGTTTGAGGCTTGCTGGACGTAGGAAAGACACCGCAAGGAAGCCTCTTAGGGCTTTACTTGATGATAATCGAGCTAAGAAAATATTTCAGGAGGAACTAGAAAAACAGATAGGCGGCCATGCAAATGATTCCCATCCTGAAGCAGGTTGGTATGATATCAAAAAGGCTGTGGAAATAGCAGTGATATCTGCTAGTAAGGTAAACCATAAGGCTAGGATGAAGCCGTGGATCTCGGTAGCATCCATCGATCTGATGGATGTCCGAAAACTCATCCCACCTGGCTCTGAACATGATGAAGAACGAAGTCAACTTAGGCACAGACTTATGAAAAGCCTACGTAACGATCGCGAACAGTCGTGGAAGGCGAAAGCAAAAGCGATGGAAAAGGCAGCGGCGAACGGCAACAGTAGACAACTTTTCCGACTTATCAAGGAAACTGGTATTAGGAATCCTAGTACAAGTGAGACTATCTCAGAAAATGACGGGACCATCATTTATTCTCAATTCAGGAAACTGGATCGATGGGCAGAACACTTTAGGGATCAGTTCAACTGGCCACGAGCCACTCTTCGGTTACCCGCGATCTCCAGTCATCCTGAATGGCAAATCGACGTAAGTCCCCCTAGTCTTAATGAAGTTGAAAAGCGTTAGGAAATCTGAAACGAGGGCGAGCTACAGGTCCTGATAAACTGACCCCTGAGATGTTTAAGGATGGTGGTCCAGTTTTAGCAGCTAGGTTGACTGAGATCTTAGGTAGAATCTGGGAACTGGACGCAATCCCATCTGACTGGTCTCAATCACTGATTGTCCCGATCTATAAGAAAGGACAAAAGTCTTCTTGTGAAAATCACAGGGGAATAAGTCCAACTAATATAGTTTCTAAATTGTTAGCGTCGATTATACTTAGACGTCTATCTAGAACTCGTGAAGAGCAGACTCGAGAAAACCTGGACGTGGTTGTATAGACCACATCTTCACACTACGACAGGTCCTGGAACACAAACACACATTTAGGCGTCCTACAATAGTTGTTTACCTAGACCTAAAAGCGGCATTTGACTCAGTGGATCGTGAGGTTCTGTGGCAGTGTCTGTCATTGAAAGGTGTGTCAAAGAAGTACATTAACCTTATACAAGCCCTTTACTCGAACACCACTGGTCGAGTGAGGGCTTATGGTGAACTGCCACCGGAATTCTCTACATCAAGTGGTGTCCGTCAGGGATGTCCACTTTCTTCATTCTTGTTTAATTTTATCATTGACATGCTCCTAGAAATAACCTTATCCTCGTCTGAATTTTCAGGAGTAGACCTCCTACCAGGTGGCTCGCTTATTGACTTAGAATATGCCGATGACATTGTCCTACTTGGTGAAGACGCTGACAAAATGCAGAGTTTTCTGACAACCCTAAGCAACATTGCAAGCATGTTCGGGATACGGTTTCCCCCTCAAAATGCAACTTGTTGATTCGATATTGGGTTGCATCGGCACCTGAACTAGTGATAGGGAGTGAAGTAGTCGGACGTGTAGACCGCTTCACTTATCTTGGGAGTCTCATCAGTGCCGATGGCCTGGTGACTGACGTAATCTCAGCTCGGATAGAGAAGGCTCGATTGGCTTTTGCCAACCTGCGTCACTTATGCTATAGGCGAGATATCCGTTTGCTGACTAAAGGACGAGTGTACTGCGCAGTAGTTCGCTCCGTCTTACTTTATGGCTGTGAAACATGGCCAGTGAGAGTAGAAGATATTCGTCGGTTACTGGTTTTTGATCATAGGTGTCTTCGAAGCATTGCTCGTATATCGTGGGACACCCGAGTGAGCAACGCTGTTATTAGGAAACGGGTGCCAGGTAAGAATTGCAGATCAATAGATGAAGCATTGAAACTTCATCAGTTGAGGTGGTTGGGACATGTGTTGCGTATGCCCAACCACTGACTGCCTCGTCGAGCTTTGTTTTGTAGTGTAGGAATAGGTTGGAAGTTAGGGGCGGCCAGACCAAAACATGGCACAAATCCATGAAGTCATTGACGAGTGGACTGAGTCATGTCGGTAATTGTCGACTACCTGGTTGGGGTCCGCGAGATGATAATAATCGATGGTTGGAGACCTTGAATGACATGGCTGAAAACCGTTTGCAATGGCGCAGGTGCATTTATTATTTGTGTTCTCTCAAATGCTAACCTTCTGGATTCTTCAACACCTCTAGTTTTGACTTTCTAAACTTTTCTCATTTAATCATACTTCTTGAATAATATCTTCTAATCCTAACCTTTCCGATTACTTCTAATACCCTTACTAACTCTTCTACTATTGGATTTGAATTGACAATTACATCTCTGTGCTGATGTGGTATGGCGACATGAACTGATGTACTTACGTACGAAGTTCTACGTTGCAACTGACTGACTGACTGTGTAATCTTTTAGAACACGTTTCGGTAACATTTACTCTTCATTCTGAGAGGATACAATTAACTATAGTTGAGTGATTTTGAAAAATGTCCAGGCATAATTCGCTTACATGTACACAAATGGAAACATTTCCCTGAACAACCTTGTAGTGTTTCAAGGGGTATATTGCGAGAATTAAAGAGGAATACTAGGAATATTTATAAAGATACCTAATATACTAGTGACTCGTACATCAAGTCTGTGTGGGGAAATATTAGATTTTTAAAACAGGAATGAGTTATTAGACCAACAGTAGGACAATCACGTAAGGAAAATTAACAAACTGCCAGAACAAATGGCTGAGATCACTTAACTAATAGCAAAACAATGATATATACCTCCAGAAGCTTTTCATTGTTCGTACCAACATCCAACATTACAGGAAGACAATGATAGGGTTGTAAGCCTCCAAAAGCAGTGTAAAGAACTGCCTTGCTTAAAGGAATAGCCATCCCATTAGCCCCCATATCCCCGAAACCCAATATACGTTCACCATCAGTCATGACCACTGTCTAATATGAACCTGTTTGCAATTCGGTATTTTGTATTTACCTTAACCGTATCAGCAGGCCAGTTCTTAAGTAAAGAAAAAATATGTCCCCTGTCTTGAATTGTAATATAAATACCTCTAAAAATATGATAAATATGACAACCTACCGAGGCCTGCGGAAGACGAAACCGAAATTCAAGCACGCTGAGCCTACCGTAGGTGTATAAATAAGTGGCAAGCAATATTCTAAGTGTGTTCTAATAGTCTGAAAAATAACTCTAATAGATTATAAGTACTCTATAAAACAGTTTTTCATTAAGATCTTGTAGAGCCATAAGCAACATGTAACGGCTAAGATTATCATCCAGCTGATAGAGGTTTGAAATAACGCGTTGTTCCTCAACATCTTGACTTTGAGGATTTGGTGGCAACAGTCCATGAATACCCAGGAGTTGGCGTTCATGAAGAGTATACGAGGAACCCTGAGAAAAAAAATCAATATGACGGTAACTAACCTTATTTGTCCGTGGGTCACGCAAAATTTCAATGCCTCGGGTCTTTAGGCGAGGGGCATTTCGGATTAATGACGGTAGATAGCGGTAACTCATATCCAGACAATTTCCTGGGAATGGTGAAGATAATTACAGATTCTCTGGGTTAAGAAGTAATAGTTTAGGACTTGGGAGTACGATTTTAGTAAATAAAAGATTCATATTTTTAAGAAATAACCACTACAAAATCCGATTATTTAGCCTCCTGTCGCAAAATACAGGCCCTTATGGGAATAGAACTCCATTTACGAAACAAAGCACGTGTATGTATAATTAAGTACGGTTTACGGGCTCTTTTTCCTTAAAGTTTATTTCAGTAGATTCTACTCCTTGAATATTACTGAACCCTAACATTTCCGATGACTAGTTACATTTCGACTACCTCTCCTAATATGGGATTTGAAGTGACGATCGCACCTGTGTGGTACGGCAACTTGAACTGATGTACGTACGTGCGAAGTCCTATGTTGTTGTTGACTGACTATCAATAGTTGGTTTAGCTAAAAACTGTTATTCGAAGATGTGTCTTTTTACCAACTTGTGCTAGATGGAGCGATCCCCCAGCCAAGTTTTTGCCAATGAGGCGTAAAGTTGAAAAAATACATTTTTCGAAAATTGTCTAATTTCCCGCGAAATTAAAACCATATTTTCAGTTACCACCTTGAATTTTCTCACTATTCCATCTTTATGGCTACTTGGGTAGGCAACACTAATCTTGGCAAGTTTACAGTGACAAGTTACCACCGACGTGTTCAGTTTGGGTAACATAACAATATCCTTAAGGTTGAATTTGTTAAAAAAGGTCAAAAACGACCATTTTAATAGCCTCAATGGTCAACTTTATACCATGAAAACTACAGGCAGTTGTAGCTTCAGTCTTTAGCAAATTTGCGTTCAGCCTGAAGATGCTTTTTGTGCTAGGAGGAGTGTAAGGTATAGCTATAAAAAAGTCATCCGAAGACTCATCAACTACTTACTTTTAATTATGAAGGCGTGCAACAACAACCAGAGACAACACAAGCATGAGATCACAACAAAGTGACAGTGGAAACTTGGATCTAGTAGCGCGAGATTTTGAACGTGCTACGCGGCTATCCAATATTCAATATCTTCTTCACGAGCTAGTATAGACAAATTGATTTCTTTGCGCTCGATTCTTGTTTTTTAGGTGCGATAAACACAGAAATGCCCCTTACTCTCTTTACAACTTACGTACAGCCTCACCTGGAAGTTTGCAATGCTGCTGTTCCCGCTCTTCCAATATCCAATATCTATTTCACGAGCTAGTATAGACAAATTGATTTCTTTGCGCTCGATTCTTGTTTTTTAGGTGCGTTTCCAGGTGTTCGGTAGTGTCCAATGAATGGGGGTCTAGCCACTAGACTGTCTAATTCTAGTCAGTTGGCAGTTGGTTGTGAGTTTGTATGTCTCGCGATTTGAATGAAAACATTTGTTTCAGAGCAGTAGGGTTTCTGGATACCAGCAGCTATCACATTAAAAGACCGATGATCAGTTAGTTGCAATGTGGAGAGTAATAAGGATAATAAAGATACAACTCTAGTGCTAATATGAAGAAAATTTCAGAACTAAGTAATATATAGATGATTTAGTTTATTAACTGAAGATCGCAGCAGAACTCTAATTGCAATTCTATTTGTTCCAACAGTTCATAACTCGGTGAGGAACTATGTATTCTACGAGTATCTTTTTCTCCCTTAGATTTTCTACTTACGCACTATGCCCAGTAAGTTGTCTTTAAATGAAATGGAGGAAAAGGGAGAATATATCAGGTCCAAAATCATTTCCTAGCATTCACCTCTTAATCTACGGTTGAACATAGTAAACCCTCCTAAATTTTCATTCAAAAAACCTTTTAAACAGGGGCTTTCAACCTGAACTCAGTTTCAAGTAAGAATCCCTCTAAGATTGCGTATACCATAGAGTTCTTAATCTTTTAGCTACAGCCAAAAGGAAGGCCATGGCCTACTAATATTTTAAGATCATTGTGAGACTCGATTACGTGCACAAACTCTTTCCCGACGCTGTGCAAGCACAAGTATACAAGTAGACGTCCTTTGCCGCAATAATGGGCATCAACCATGGCTTAAGTCAACTAACTAGAACGTCTTAGTCAGCTTGAAGTGCACTTGAGTGTGCATCCCACGTTATTTTTAGCCAACTTCTTACATCATCCTTATAATGTAGCACCAACAACTCGACGATTCTCGAGAGTTTATGTACATATTAAATGAAAAGTAAAGGACCAAGAACAGCTCCTACCATCACCTCACTAGGTACTGGTTTACAAGAGGTGAAAGTAAAATTTAGTTTTGCTTTTTATCTACCAACTACCAAGAAATCTTCGATCCACATAACAAGTGAATTGGAAATTCTTAGATTTTCCAGCGTTAGGAGGAGTCTATTTTACGGCACCTCATCAAATGATTTGTTAAAGTCCACATAGACAGCATCCATTATCTAAGTACTCTTTCCATCTCTCTTTTGCTGTAAGCTGGGGGTAGAAGTGTATCAAAACAGTCTCATCAGTTACTTGATTAAAGAGTGTGCTAACGTCCTTCCTTTGTTCAGCGACCCGGATTGTGCTTAAACACTGTTTTCGATGGACAAGAATTTAGGTTTATTTCGTAAGGAGTCATCTACTACACATTCAGGACTTTGGTATACTATAACTGATTCACTACCCTGCCGTATGAACTTTCGGTCAGCAGCCTACCAATTTACATGTCCCTGAGATATGTGCCTCTGTCTCGACAATAAGTATTATTGTATACTTCTGACGTTAGCCGCGTTTCTGAAATGGCAATGATATCAGGGTTTTACGTAACCCTCAGGTTTCGGGCAGTATGCTGCAAGCATTTGTTTAGCATACCTGTTATTCAGTACAACGGCTTCCTGTGCCACTGAAAGCGGTTTCGGGAACTCACTCGTAGCGTGGTTTCACATTGCTAGCTCTTTACACGTTTAAACTATATCGAATTAATAACTGTTTTATTTTGTTTCTTTTCCCCGAAGTAGTATTAAATCCCACTATTTGGCCAAAAATCTCATTATGTTTACGTGAAATAGGTTACTCATTGGGTCAGTTTATGTACTAATCAACTTGTAGTGGTATACTTTTACGAAGATAACACAGTTGCTGAAACGGAAACATTTATTATTGTACTTAATTATGACATTAATTTTTATGTTGTACTCCTTTTGTTTATCCATACTGAAGACTATCTCTCACGCGCCAAACGTATTTTTCCGATTCCGTTCCCCTCCTCGCTTGTTGTTAGCTGCTCCTGTACTCTAGTCTCTATATTATTTCGATATTTACGAGGCTAGCGATAAATATACTTCATTAGGAATAGTCTTTTCTTTGACTACTGGATTATCGGGCTTTACCTTAATAACCCCGCGAAGAAATATATTTATTTTAACTCTCTATAAATTGTAGCAGGCTGATAAGAACGCACTCTACTGCCCTTACGAAACCACCATTTACTGCTTAACCTCTAGTGGTCATGCTTCCACGGCCTTAAAAGCCATCACGCAGTTTGTATTGGACAAAACTTTATTAACACACACAATTTTTTGAGTTCCTTGTTGCCCGTTATCAGTTTTTCTATTCTCACATGTACCCTATTGACATACCTCTGATTCAATCTCGTTATACACTTCCCCATTTATAACTACAATTGTCCTGAACTTTCCCGCTTATTTCAGTGAACATCTCTTCCCTACATCGTAAATAATAATATTTGTTCTCAAATAACTACGTCACAAGAGGCATACCAGCTTACAGGCTAGATCAAATTGTCACAAATGTTTTAACATATACTGTAAAGGTTATCGCAGTTAAATTATGTATGAGAGTTAGTTTCTGATAGTATATTTACACTATGTCACTGACAGAAACAGTATGATACAGCCACATTTTCAATAGGATAGTACAAATAGAGAAGGTGCACAGTAGGTTTCTTGGGCAGTTCGCTGAGATCAGTAGTGAATTTATTGGGAAAGGTCAATTGGAACGCGCTTGATACAAGCTACATGTTCCATAGAGGCGCTATGGATTTCCTACCGTGAACAGGGTTCTGAAAAAGGAGAAAAGAGAGAAAAAGGCAGCAGCGTAGCAAGTGTATATATATACAAATAACCAAAGTACTACTTAACCTATCATGCTGAAGTAGTCAATACAGTGACAAGTCAAGATAAAATTTATACTGACCACTAAAATTAAAGTAACTTATGGGAATAAAAGAATCTAACCCATAAATGAAGAAGAACGGCGGTGAGGAAGGAGGAGTTGTGGAGAGTGTCAAATGGATAGAAGATAAGTTGAAGTAAGAAACTAGATTTACATAGGTTGAAATCAAAGTTTCAGTTAAAAGAGTAGAGTTTGTAAAAAAATGTTTGTAAGCCCTACTTTTCTCCGTAACAGTTAACTGTGTTACACCGATACCTATCCCAAAGGTCATAAGTTGTAACGACAAAACAAGCTAACTGAACGAAACTTTCGGAAATCTTTCCTAATAAGGTGCAAAATATAGATCCTAGAGTAAAACAGACGTTATGTTACAACCTTTTTAGATGAGCATAACAAAAAAAGGAGGGAGGGTGGATTAAATGACCAGAAAGCACTTATGATGAGGGCGACGAATTCAACCCACCCATGTTTGTGGGGTCGAATATTTTTTTGCGACGAATCGGTGATCATGAGGCTGCTCTTACACGATTGCTACTTCTAAGACTCATGTTTCCAACAATATACTGAGGTCGTTGTTCTGCCAAGACAACCTGCAACATCTTACCCAGGCACTTACAGTGAGAATTAGAGGTTGGCATTTGATAAAATTAGTAAATGTTGTTAAATTAAAAATATTTATGATAGTTTTTTACGAAATTTACTCTCCTTTCTAAACATTCAGTTTCAACGTACAGATATACAGCTTCTCGCCTCAACTTCTGTTCTATACACCTTGACATACATCAAAACCCACTATTCTTCATTGCAGTATTCTCTAATTAGACGGCTATATTACTACAATTTACTTTAATTTTAGTCGTCCGTATCTTTATCTTTACTTACCATCGCTTCGTCTTCTCCACCATGAACGGTTGCCTCGTTGCTCGATTTTCTTTCTTCTCTTTTTTTCCCTTCTCGGAACCCTGTCTGCAGTGGAATGTCCATACTGCATTTATACAACATGAACCTAACATGTGCGCACGTCTAGGTTTCAGCTTATATCTAGCGCTTTCCAGTCAACATTTAACATATTTTCTCCTGAATTATGCATCCCACACAAGACCTCTTTTGTGTACCTACTCTATTTGCAATCACTTGTTTTAAACGTGGCTGTATCAAACTGCTTCTCTCAATGACATGCCGTAAACCTGATGTCAGAAACAGGCCAATTATTATTCTAATACTACAAACGTTTATATTCAATGTGGTGGCATTTGTAAAACCTTTACAACTATCGTAATAAGGATTGTAGAAATATTTGATACTCTCGCAGTAAGCTCGGAATCCAAAAGGTGCAGGTTCACACGCCTCTCGCCCAGTCCATCTCCAAAAACGATAACTCTGGGAAAGAACGGTTCTATATTTAATCAAAAAAGGTAATTCAGACAATTACCAAAACAATATTACACCTTCGAGTTTCTAATCACCACAATAGGTCCCGTTACTGGGAGAATAGGTGCTTCCAGTCAGTTGCTGCTAGAGTATCAAATCCAAATATGGCTGTAGCCATATTATGTATCAATTTTAAGCAACACATATATAGTTCAGAAGGAAACATAGAAACTTCAATATAAGTACAAGATATAGAAATAATGACTAGATGCAAATGATAAAATCCGAAAATGGGATCAAATAAATTACCAAAATATCGAACAGAAGACTATGTATTTTGTGAGCGTCTTCACTAAGTAGAACTATGTCGTCAGCACATTCTAAGTTAACGAGCGAATCTCCTGATAGAAGGTCGGCTCGTGGAAAGTCAAACGATGAAAGTGTCATCTCTGAGAGCATGCTTACGAAAAAATTGGATGAAAATGGGGAAAGCGATCAACCCTAGCAAACACTAATAATATCCAAATGAATGGTAGTTGAAAGTAACTGTCTTATTTATCAAATATAGTTCCATGTACTGACGTGTGATCTAAAGATGTCTTCAAAGTGTTGTTCGTGCATCCTGAGACAACCGAGTTAGCAATGCTGTCGTTACGAAACGTGTATTAGGTAGCGATGGTAAATCAATAGATGAAGTAATGAATGTCCATCAGT